TTAAGAACACTGGATGTTCTTGCAGAAGACCCAGGTTCGAATCCCAGCACCCACATGGCAGCTAACAACTGCCCTAACTCCAGTTCCACAGGATCAGCCAGCCTCTTCTGTCCTCCGCGGGCATTGCACTACACAGGCGCACTTACCTACATGCAGGCAATACACGCTTACACATAAAATAAAAATAATAAATATTTTTAAAAACAAACAAACAAAACACAACCCTTACACCAAGGAACTCTCCAACTTAACAAAAGCAAGGCACTCCTCAAAGCTGAGCCCCTATCACGGAGTAGCACTTGGTTAAGGGCCAGAAGACGGGGCAGATAAAGCGTTCTGTAGAAATGGAAAAAAAAAAAAAAAATTCTGCTGGGTGGTTTCGGTAGGCGGCCTTGAGACTGAGACCTGAACCAAGGCTATAAGGATTAGAAACGTAGAGAAACCGAGGCTTTTTAAAAGGACTAGAATCAAGGAGAAACGGGGTGGGACAGAGGAACGAGCTTTGCAGGGTTAGGGAATGGTGATAAAGGAAACAAAGCAATAATAGAACTTGAAAAGCAAACGTGAACTTTGTCTCCAGAAACCCCTTAGTATTCCTCCCACGCCTTCGTCCGGTTCTCCCACCCATTTCTTCTCTCATTAGATAAGCGGCTCCCGCTGTAGTGCTTGGATAAGCAGCATCACTTCTAGGAATCTGAATTGTACCAGACCTGCTGAGTCAGAAGATGGGGGAGCAGGGCCGCAATCGGGGCTTTAACAAACGCTTCGGGTTATTCTGGTGCTGGCTCAACTTTGGAAGCCGCTGCTGCTCTACGCCAGGCACCTGAAGGTGAGCTTGCAGGGCCCAGTCCGCTCCGGTGAGTTCCGGGCTGAAGCAGCCTGGTCTACATAGTGAGTTCCAAGCCAGCTGGGGCTACAAGGAGACCTTGTCTGGAAAAAAACTAAAACTAAAACTAACTAAATAAAAATGTTTAAAAAGCAAACATAAGCCAGATGTAGTGATGCATGCCTGTAATCCCAAAAATGGTATGTAGTCCTCTGTGTCTGTCTGGCTTCTGCTCACGTTGTCTGTGATTCATGCCGTTCTGAATGACAGCAGCTCATTCTTTTTTATTGCTGAAGGTTCCACTGAATGCCTATCATCATAATTTGTCTTCTGCAATTTTGTGTGCAAGTATGCATGCATGCGTCTCTGTGTGTGGTGCTGGGGATTGAACCCAAGACCCTGTGCGTGCACTCTATCATTTGAGCTACATCTCCAGCCCCTGGTTTGCTTCAATTTACATAATAGAAAGCAAAAATAAAACAAATTTTTTTCTTGAAAATTAGTCAAATATGTCAAGATCATCATCAATGCCCCCCTCCCAAAATTTAGTTTCCTCAATCCTTGCAATGAGTACAGTGAATGGTTTTCAACTATACTCTGTCCAAGTTAAAGCAAAGCAAACGCAAGGATGGCCTGTTCTACACACACTATGAAGAACTAGAGAAATTTCTTAGGAATGCACACTCTTGAGAACATCTTGCCAACAATACATTTTGGTGATGTTAATATTGCCAATTGATATGTTATCAGTCATATAACAGCAAAGTGATACAACTATACATGGCACATAATACTTAATAATTATGAACAACCATTACTATTTTATGTGAAAACAGGTTGCTTTTAACTTGTGAAGTACCATCACTATAAAGCTGTTCAGCCAAAAGGCAAAAATAGACATAGTGAGGAACTATCAGGAAGTTTTCAGCTCCATAGAAAGAACAACAATCATCTCCAAAAAGTCTGTAGAGATTCAAATTCCACTACCTGTGGAGAGTGTAAATATGAGGTGAGAAGCTGGAGACGGAGCTCAGGGGTAGAGTGCTTGCCTAGCTTGAATGAAGCCCTGGCAACAGCCTTCAGAAAAGTAGTTACTAAACTGGACCTGGTGGTGCAGGCCTGTACACCCAACACTCAGGTGATGGAGGCAGGAGGATCAGGAGTTCAAGATCATCCTCAGTACACAGCCAGTTCCAGGACAGAGAGAGTTACATGAGATCCTTTCTCAAACAAAAAACCAAACAAGGGAACAAAAGAAAAAGCCACTAATATACCAAGATTCCTTGTAGTATAGATTTTCTCTTACTTTAACGCAAATGCACTGAGAGAAATTGTTCTAGTTTGCTTCTGTATTGCTGTGATAAAACTCTTTGATCAAAAACAAGGGTTTATTGCATCTTACACTTCTGAGTGACAGTCCATCTTTGAAGGAAGTCAGGTAGGAAACCAGGGCAGGAACCTGAAGGCAGACACCAAAGCACAGACAACAGGGGACCACAGAAGAATGCTGCTTACTGGTTTGCTCCTGCAGCTTGTGTCTCTCTCCCCTCTCTCCCCTCTCTCCCCTCCTCTCCCCTCCTCTCTCCTCCCCTCCTCTCTCTGCCCAGCATAGAGTAGCTTCAGATCTCTCAGGAGAGGCATCTGAAAAGACTTAAAGGGGTTCTTTATTAGGTTTTTTATTTTTCCTTCT